ATTTACAGCTGCACATTCCATTGTTAACCCAACACACAGCTTGAGTTCGCCTCTGTCAACTGCCGAACAAGCAGAACTAACTTCAACTTTCCTATTTTATTACCAAGGAAAGGAGAAGAGCTGCCTGCCAGTGCTCTGCCACTTCCAGGCAAATCCCACTGGAAATCAAGATGGGTTTTTTTAAGCACAGCTCACCTTTCGTAGAAGCTTATCATGACATCGCAGCAGTTGGAAGAAGAGCTCCAGCAAACTCGTTGGGTTTATCAAATTCTTGTTTCTTAACAAGATCAAAGCCTTACAGAATGTCTGTAAGAGAAACAGGGATTCGCATCCAGAACTTTGTAATACTCACCAGTTTCCATCTTTCTTAAAAAATTAAAAAGTGAACTGTAAACTCTCAGCTCACATCTAAAGGGCATATTTTAGCCACAGAAGGGCTCAAAACACCTTTCAGTGTAGGTCTTACCATACGCAAGTCCACATCCAAGACTGTGTGGTGGTAGGACAGCAGCTCCTTCAGCTGTTGAGGAAAACTGGCCATGTGCTCTGGGTAGCAGTGGGCAACCTGGATGGAGACAGGTCATTACCATCCTATCATAACCTTTTAATACACACAAAACTAAGTTCATAATGCACAGATATAAGAGGTACAATGCAATTAAAAAATTGTTTTCAGAAACTTGTACCAAGTGCTCAAACACAAGACTTACATTGCTGGGAACACACAGCACTGCTGCAGAAACCTCAGACAAGACACAGTTTTACAGCAGCTCTGGCAACATTAACAGCCAAATGTGCCACAGCCACCACGCTAAGGGCAAAGGCTCTGCGGCTGGTGCAGGGCTCCAGGCCGGCGTCACAGCGGCCCTTCAGAGGGGCAGCACCTTACCTGTGCCAGGAACATGACCAGCTCGGCCAGCTCCTTGCTAGGCTTGTCTGGTTGGAAGGTGAAGATCTCCACATGGGACTGGTAGTGGTGGTACTGCTGGAGGAACTGAGCACACACAACAGGGCCGTCAGCTGCTGAGCGGCGCAGGCAACACTTAACACACCCAGCCCTACATCCCGCCCCGGCCCCCCCGCTCGGCCCCGCACCTCCTCGGTGTAGGAGGTCGGGTCGCGCTTGATGAGGTTCTGCAGCTGCGGCAGGTTGCTGGGCAGCTTGTTCCCCTGCCGGCACGACATGCTGGCAGCGCCACACCAACCCCGGCCCCGGCCGCAACACGTGAGAGATCAGCTGCGCGTCGCCATCTTAGCCCGCCCCTTCCGACCGGCGCCGCCGAGGGACAAACTTTATCGAGCGGTACCTCCTTCCGCAGTGCTCCCTGATTGGGAGCACGTCCCTGCCCTGCAGTGGTCATACGCTCGTCTCGGCTGGATGACATAGCTTCATTTGGTGCGTAAAGTCAGCTTTTGAGTGTTAAGTGCTACCGGTTAGTGCAGCAACACTGCCGAGGAGCTAGATCTGGCCCTTAATTGTTAAGGATATGTGGATATGTCAGCAGCGTGGGTAGGTTTTTATTCACACTGTGATTTCCAGGTGGGGTGCCCGAGGGGCTTGCAGCCCTGAGATCATCTTCAGGACATAAAGTGAACTCTTCAAGTGAGACCGAGACCAAGACCAAGAAGAGAGCTTTAAAAAAAGAGCCTTACCATTTACAAGGACAGGGGAAGTGAGGATAGATTGGGTGGTACAGGAGAACAGTACCTTTAGATTTTTAGTAGCTGTAGATACAAAGCTCCTCGGAGGTGACACTCCCTCCACCTCACATTTTCAGGACGATGTCACAACACATCTCAGATGAGTGTATAGCGGTGGTGAGCATTAAACGTCGTGAACACTCAATAAGGATAACAAGAAACTTAGAAAGTTCTTTCTAATTCAGTTGTCTTATTAATTTATCTTTAAAACAACGCAATAGAAAGCTTACCTCTTACTTTGTATAGCTTTTATTCCCTTTAGGTAACTGATTATTTATGCTGTAGAATAGATTTACATTATTATTTTACAGAGCATACTTGTTTTATATATCAGCGTAAAATTAAGGATTAAACATGGCATTGTTACAGGTCCAAACTTATGATTATTACTTCTCATTCAAGTGAGACAAGGCTTTTCCCACTAAAAGACTTTCATTATGACAGTAAGAAAGTCACAGCCAGCTGTAACCACCTGAGCACATTCACTGACTGACTTCCTGTAACAACCTGAACATGTCAGTTCAGATTAGTTCTGGCTTTCCCCAAACCCTTAAAACAATTGGGTTCCTGCATAGGAAGCACATCCAGGCACAGTGCCTGCTGAGACATGCTCCAGCTGTCAGACACTGCTGATGCTGCAGGTACTGAAAATCAAGTACAGCTTCAGCATTTGAACAGGAAGCTCTGCAAAGCTGATGGACCACTTGCCACTGGCAGGGACACTGTAGACTTCTAACTGTGGTCTAACACATCTTCTGGTCGGTCACTCACTCAACAAGTCTGGGGTGGGGGGAATATATATATGTGTGTGTGTATATATATATGTACATATATATATACACACACACACACACCCATATACACACACATACATTTAAAGCTTCCTTTTCAGGGTCACATGCAACTTCTTTTCAGGGGAATACACACATTTTCACTCACTTCAAGTACAGACACCTACAAGAGCACAGCTTAAGCCTGATAGGCTGGATATCACTATTGATGGTTGGCATTAGAACCTAAGGATGAAGGAATTTAATTATTTAAAGAATAAAGAAAAAAAAAATCTGCCTTCTGTCACTTGCTGTTCTTTTTAAACACTGATAAAGCTCACTTTAAAACATAAGCCAGGACAATAGGGCTAAGAAAAAATAATTAGGATTTCACATAATGATCTTTAAATTGATTAATGTCATCAGTATCTTGACATGCTTAGTTTCTGCTTTCAGGCATCTCTGCTCTATTGAAGACTTCAGTGTAGTATTAAAAGAAACAAACAGTATCATGTGATTGTGAACTTTCACTCAGCACCCTTCAATCACATATCATCACAGACTAGTTTTGTTAAAGAGAATGTAGAACTATACAGCTGTTTAAGAGTAAACTGATCTAATACAGCAATAAATTATGAACTTGATGAAATATAACACTTTAAATCAGCTTTGAAGACTAATAATTTTGGAAGCAACCATGTTAGAAACAAACTTTACTTGCATCATTGAAAACATCCATAAAAATCTACTGGATTTTCTTCCTAGTAGGTTGGTAAAAATAACATTACAGCTTTTGCTTCTACAGAAATTAAAGCTTTTGTTTAAGGCTAGAAAAAGTCTAAAGACTGAACTAATTTTTCTACTTAAAACCCAGCGATTAGAGTAACCATAACTATCATACAGCTTGTTTAACAAAATCGTTATTTGCACCTTCACTACTACAGATAAGAAAATGCTTAGCGTAAAAGTTTTTATAGCCTCTTCAGTAAAAATTAACTTCGTAGCCTTTTAAAAAGATCCTAATTTCTTAACTAAAGCAAGGAAACAAGCTACTGAAAAGTTTCTTGTTTTTTTTTTCTATAAACAAAGCAAACATCCAAAAACCATTCCATAAGCTTACCTTAATTTTAAGAAAGCAACAATTTAAACATAAAAAAATCTGCTCATTAGGAAACAAAACTAGATGGTTTCTTTGCTGCTGATATGGCTTTCTCAGCTATTACAAAGGAAAAGCAAACATTAATCTAGTGAGGAGCTCCACGTGAGTATTTATATCCCAACCCCCTTCTCTCCTGCACACTCATTAGTCTGATTTCCATGAGCTCATCAAGCCAGGAATGCTTAAATTCAGGGGGGGAAAGGGCAACTTCCTTTGTTTTGTTGTTGGTGTTTTGTTGGTTTTTTTTTGGCGGGTGTTTTCTTTGAGGTGAGAATTGGAGATTTTGTTTACTCTAGGTTGTTTTAGGGTTGGAATCTATGGAGTATATCACCTGTGCTATGAGTAGGATGTGTTATTTAACATAATAGGGAGCTTTGCTGGAAGAATCATTAGGCAGTGTTAAAGGGTGCAAAGTATGATTTGTTTAATTTATGCATGATTACTTTCTGATCTGTATATGGATGCTAGTAAGCTTTGGCTTTTCTTTTTGAGGATTCTGAGTTGAAGTTTTTTTGTGGGCTACATTTAATACAATGTTATTCGCTTGATTTATTTAGTCTTTTTTTTGAGTGTTTTCTCAGGCCAAACAAACTGATCACCTGATGGTTTAAGGGTTCCTCAGTCTTGCATTGTAGATTTGTAAGCTATTCCCCCCATCCTTCCAATTCTGGGAAAAGTCATTCCTGTCACACTTGGATTTTGCCTTCGCTGGGTTACAGCCCAAGACAGAGGTCCCCTGCTGCTTGACGTTCTGACAGTAATTGAATGTTGGGGTGCACAAATAAACTTTAATGTTAGAAAGAATATCAGCCTAGTGTCTGCTGGCACTGTGATGCCACCTATTTGAATTTGTTTTATTTGAGCTTCCAGTAGGTACATACATTTTCTGATAGGCTTAGGCAGCACAATGAGAACTGGCTGAGGAATGAGCAGAATGTATTCCACAAACTGTTACATGGAGCTACTCCAGTTGTCCCAAGTCATTCCTTTTGAATTTATCCACCACTCTGTGTCATGATTCAAACCCACAAGAAGTTAAGAGGTAACACCAGACCTGACCCATGTTTGCTGCTTTTATTTTTCTTAAAGAGAAGGAGCACATCATAAAGGTATGGGGAACAGTGTATTGCACCATCTTCCAGCAGCAGCAAAGACTTTGATTGTTCACTCATAAATAAGTGTGGGTGTTGAAAAGATAAGGATATCTGCTGTGGCAAAAGAAAATTCTGCACTAATTCCAATATTTTTCTCTGCAATTCCCAGGCGTTCTCCACATGTTTCTGCGTGTGAAGAAAGCTTTTACTCTAGGCAGGAAAGGAGCTGTGAATCTAGTTTCCACTAGAAAGTAGTTGCAAGTTGCTTGTAGCAAGCAACTACAAACATGTTTAGTGTATTATGCCAGCAGGGACTTAAAGCTAGTGCCTTCTTTGTCTAAGCAACACAGCCTTAGTGTTAGCTTCTGCATGTTTTCTTACACCGTTTTCAGATTTTTCTGGGAATTTTGTTGTGGAGTGCCTTGGAGGTAACTTTCTATACATCAGAATAAGAATAAGATACTATTTTTCTCTTAAGGTACTTTTACTGTTGGAGCTGTAAAATATCAGGTATGTATATTTCTAATTCTTAATACCCTCTTAAAATGTATTTTGCTTCTGAATTAAGCAATTCCTGAGTATATGTCTTTATAAAATATGCATTATACATCTGCATAAAATATGTGATACTGCACTATTTGATATTGCAAGTACATTAATAATCTCTAAAACCAACCCCTTAGGCTATTAATTTTTGCTATGCTTTAGCTAGCAAGTACTGTACTGTATTATACTATATTGCTAAAGCACTGAAAGTACTAATTTAAAACATCTGTCAGTTGCCATTTGACTGTTTAAGCCAATAGAGGTAAGAACTGTGGAACGGCTGAAAGCTGGACAAGTTATGGTTAACTGAAATGAGGTGTTAGTGAGGAATATTTGTCATTTTGAACACACAGCTTTACAATATTTTTGTCAGTAAAGCAACAGGCATATGTATAAAATGTCTTGAAACAGAAGCTCTATAATTATTTTGTTTTTAATTTAAAACCAGATTTTTGTAATGCCAGTATTTTGTGTGCTTAAAATGCTGGTTTTCAGTGTATGATGTCCTTCATGCAAGTTGTCAGTGTTTTATACGCTTTTCTGAAGAGCTGTACAGCAGCAAGATGCTGGCCAGTATGGGTGAGCACACCTGAAGCTGAACATCCACTTGTGCTCTGGAAGTACTCCAGTATTTTTTGTTAGAATACAGCCTTTAAGCTCTGCATGATGTAATTTGCTTACAGAAGGGAGAATGTCTTATAAGGGCTTCCAAGAAAGCAGAGCAACATTCTCCAACTTGCTTACTGATCAGTGCTGGATATTTCTGAAGAAAGGTCAAGATGACTTCAGAGATGGCTTTCCTTCTTCACCTGATAACATGCTTGTTAATGGCAGGAAGCAGCCTGTCTCAATTACCCTTGAGAACAGCACACTAAAATCTTCGTGCAGAGCTCCATGGAAGAAAAGGAACTAGTGCAGCAGAGCAGAGGTCTGTCTTTCCAAGCTCAGTAAGTCTGCTGCAGCAAGCCAGGACGGATTATGTTGCACAAATGGAGTGCTGTCTGAGCCAGCACCCTTCAGTGTGCTACCCATGCTTGGAAAAAAGCACCTCCCCTAAGGTAATAATCTTGTAACCTTGACTAAACATTGTTTCTTTGGAGAGTGGGAAGAAGAAACTAACCTAGAGGGCAGCTACTATTGTCAATTCAAACCGCACTCCAAGTTCTGTTTCTTTCCAAACTAAAAACAAGGCAAATAATATTAATGTTAACTTATATTTAGATGGTCAGTCCAAATTGCTGGCAAGTTAATTGTGGAGCAGTATTGTAAATGGCTAATTGAGGAATCAACAGATCACAGAACATGTGCTATCTGTGAAGTTATCAACAGGCAGTGATACAAATAGATGTTATAGAGCAGGAAGCAACTCCAATCATAACTGTTAAGAATATACCCAAGATAGCAAAGTATATCTCATTAGCTTTATCTCTCAGCATGTTTACAGAACCTTCCTTGTCTCCAGTTCTTGATACTGCTCTGCTTCATGCAAGCAAAAGGTAGTAGGTTACCTTCTGTGCAGCTGGGAACTTCTGGAATGTGCGTGTTTGGGTGTTGTGGAGGGTGGATAGTGACCAAATACAGTGGCAAAACTAAGTTTTTTTGCTTCTAGTACCTCTCAAAAGGAACAGTGGAGAGCTGGGAGACTTTTGGAAGGACAGGCTTTATGCTAAAGAAGATGGGGAATTGAATGGAGTGCCTTAGCATTTTTTAGCTTTGTCTAAAGGGATATACTCACCTAAGGCTTGGATGCAATAAGATGATAGATGGGTCCAGTGGGAGAAGCCCTATATTTCAGAGATGGGAATTGGGTGTCTGTTCTATGAGACCAGGCAAGAGCAGAGCTCTCCCTGATCCTAGGCTATGATTACTGGGACAATGGGATCATGAAACCAGGGATTGTACTGACAGGAAGGAAACTTAAAAGTAGTTGAAGGCAAGCTTCCTATGTGGTACAGCAGATGGCCACAGAAGATGGCAGAGACTAGACTTAAATCATGATTCGCAGTTCTAGCAAGCAGCATGAGCTGCAATTAATGCTTTAGAGTTTTTTGGAAAAGGTCTGTAAATTGAGGCTTCTGGACTATGAACTGCCTTAACTGCTAGTAGATGTGTAGGTACTTGCATATCAGGCAGTTCTTGACACAGCCCCCAAAGCAGACTTGCTCCAACGAGGTTGCTTTTGATCACAGGATGTCCTTTTGCTTGGCTTGCAGAACTTGAAAGAGGTTGCAGGTGTCCTGGATCCTGATATGATACTGAAGAGTAAAGCTGGCTACAGTGGCTATGAGAACCAGCCTGGTCAGGAGGTGCTGGGTCTTATGGAGGACATGCAAACAAAGTAACAGCTTCCAAGACACAAGTACAGTGAGTACAGTACAAGAAGAAGACAGCAACAGAAATGGCTCTGAATGCCCCCTTCTGAGATGAGTGGAAAAATTAATTTAAACACTTAATTAAAAGTTACATCAGTCTGTCATGGGAGTAGTTATCATTAAAAGATAGGTTCCGTTGCTTTCCTCAGTGATCCTGATTAACTGGTATCCCACCCTGTTCAGAGACTAGTCACAGTTGGTGTTGAGTGATTCAAAATCACAAGGAGACAGCTTTGCTGGTGGTTAGTTTTGCAGGCTGAATTACCTGAGTCAGAGTAAGTGCTATCACCTGATTCTTTTCCTAAGCACTTCTGATAATGACAGGCCAATGTGGTGATGGATGCATACAGTGACAGTTTTCTATTTTGAAGGTAATAGGTTGACTGGTGACAGCTGCCACAGCAGATAATCAAAGGGTGTTTCACACTGTACTGCATTAGTACCTGCAGTGGCAAGGGGTCTCAAGTCCAAACCCTGTGTGCACAGCTTCCCAAGAAGGTAGCAGCAAGAATAAAAGAGGCCACGCTGGCTGACGTTGTTGCCCATGACGAACATGTAAAGCAAGCAACCAAGCATTTTTGTGACTGGGTTATGTCTTTGGTAAGTAAACCAAAACTGCAACTACCTGCTTTCTTTTGATTCTATAGACTTATTTGCTACTTTTCAGGCTAAATGTGTTTGGACTGAAGAAGTAAAAATGTGACTCTGGATGTGCAAATCTGAGAGCCAGTCAAAACCAGTGTTTGACTCACAGCTCTGTCCTGTTAGGACTAATAGGGCTCAGCCCACAAAAATGAAAAGTGAAGAATAAATATTGCTATACAAAATTACTAATTAAGTTTGCTGCAGAACACTTTTTTTTTTTCCCTCAGAAAAGCCATCCATGTCCAAATGACCATTTAACTGCCTCACCTTGTAGCAATCCCCTTTTTTATGAGATTAATACACCAATGCATGTGTCTTTGTGCTTGCCTTGTCACTGTGATGATTCTAATGCAAGCATACTTGTAAATCAGCTGAAACTATGACACTGAGTTGAATTTAACAATAGTATAGATGGCAAGGAGGAGGTAACAGAAGCAAGAAAGTACTACTACTAAGGAGATGTTGATTTCTTCCCCATTCTGGCTCTCCTGGGGTGGTTGTTCCAGGGTGTAGGGAATTGGAATATTGATGAAGATACTTTCATGAGCTTGCTCAACACCAGCTGTGAAAGGGAGATCACCGTCCCTTCACTTTTCAATGCTGTGAAATTCATCAACATGGAAACAAAGCAGCTCAAGAGCCGGGACATTTCACCTCCCCAGTTAGCTGTCAGGAGTTCTCACTACCTTAGGAACCTGCCCTGCCAGGTTAAGGTAAGAGACCCCTAATTGTTTGGATGGTTTGTGGTGGAACCTCTAGCTCCCAAAGTATGAGCCTCACATGCTTCCTTCCCAGGTTCTTACAAAAGTGAGTTTAAAAAATGGCAAGATGACTTGAGGATAGAGATTTCCAGAAGTACCTTTAAATACTGTTTCCCTTTGAGGGGAGTTGTGGGGAGGGAAGGGAAAAAACTGCTAGTCATTGTCATCAGCTGTCATCTAAATATTGTGTAGTTGTAGGATACAAGATCACCCCTGGTAGACCCTTCAGAGGTGGCATTCAGGTTATGCGATGGTCTGTACTGCCTAAGGCATGAGGGACAAATGCCAAGATGATGAAAGAACATTGCAATAGTTATTTCATTTTTTGGTGTGTTTTTTTCTTGCAGGTCCCTTCCCAAACAAAATGGGAGAAGATCAGGTATGGAGCATGGTATCTTGATCCCAAAACATGGAGAAAACAGAAAGCAAATGAACCATTAAAATAACAAGAGGCCACAATCAACAGCCTTGGGAGTGCAAAGAACTGGTTTGAAAAGGTACTGTGAAAGTGAAAAGCAGCATAATTCTTCTGTGACATAGCTATGAGGTTTTCTCACAGGGATGTATCTGGGCACTTTACTGTACTTGGCAGCCACAAACAGATGTGGAACAGACCATGTTATCCAAGCTGAGATCACCATGGTTCCAACAGGCTCACTGACTTGGATTAGCCGTGGCTTCATGGCACCAATATGTGAACAATAGTCTCAGAAGGCAAGTAAGCACAAATCAGGCTTAAATAGCTGTTGCACATTTAGTTCATTTAAAAATGTTCTAGGGTGTGCTTACTTGGTTTAGTTGTCCTGCAATACCCACCTTGACAAAGGTGCTGGATTCAGCTGTGGGACAAGGTGGTGTTAGGAGGAGTTTGAGGAGCAGGCAGGTTCAGCTGCTGGCCTTAGATGTAGGTTTAGTTTCCACTTTATTAAAAAAAAACATAAATTATTCCACCTTCACACTTAGGACTCAGTACAAAGGGAAAACGGTGTTAATGCTCTAGAGGGCAGTCCTTCCAAAGGTCAAACTGAGGAGCTGCTGTGACTAAAACCATGCCACATGCGAAAGGCTGGCAAGCTGTTGACAAGTGTTGCTCCTGTTTTTGAAGAAAAAAGACAAAGGAGTAATTTTGGCAGGGAGGATGCCTGGGAACAGCTGAGCTCAGAAGAACAGAAATGCACAGGTTATAGTTGATGCTGCTAAAAATAAAGGAAAAGTTTACAATTGAACAATAACCTACCTCATTTTGTTCAGCTCTTCCTGCAAATAGACTGCAAATTAGTGAGGGTAGGTGTGCTTACTTAGAAAATGAAGAATAACTCTTTCTGCCTTGATGCTTGCCAAAGCTGCTGGGGGAAATGACTTTGTGTAGTATACAGGACATCAGATTATGGACCATAGGTTATAATCTGATAAAACCAATTTAATGTTCACAAAGCAACCTCATTGCTTTTAGAAGCAAAAATGAAATCTGAGCTAGTTAGAGCTGTTAGCAGTTGAAATATGTATTGGTTGATAAGTTTTCATGAAAGTTGGACAGATACACACTGTGCCTTTTCTTTAGGCATGTGAAACGTACATGGATATGAAATGTGAACATTTTAATTTTACCTACTGTGGAAATTAATTCAGGAGATAGAAGTCACAGGCCTTTAAGGAAATCCTGGAAAGAAAGGGCCTCAGACAGCCTTTGGTGAGTCATAAGGATCTGCTTAGGGTGTTGTGTGTGTCCCCAGGTTGATGTGCTTGTGGCTATTGCTGTGTTGTCCTAATGTCCTGGTTGTAAAAATGCCTAGATCAGGGACTTGGAGTTTTTCTCTCCTATGTATTGGAGCTTTTGGAGGGGAGGAACTGCTGTAATAGCAAAGGGGGGCTCAGAAAGCAGCTGGGGCTCTGTTGAGCGGGGGGTCTTGAAAGCAATGCTGCGATTCCCCCTGTTCAGACTTGGTGTGAAGGACCAGTCCAAAGTGCCATCCTGGGAACAAGTCTACAAGTATTATGATGTACACCTGGGACTTGTGTAGCTCTGCAACTTGTGTGGCTGGCATTCTTAAATGCCATCAGCATGTGCAAAAGCCTGTGCTATGTGTTAACTGTGGATGCAAAGCAGATTTAAACCTCAGTGCTGGAGAAGAGACTTGACTGAGTTGGATCTCGCATCACAAGCAACAGCTGCAACTCAGCCATAGGTACAACAGATGTTTTACCCTTTCTTTTCATGTATTTTACCTTGTTCTTCAATTCTAAGTATCATTTGAGGCTGCTAATCATGTTTATCTTTAATCTCTTGTTTCAGTTCCTCTGGAAAATGGTGGCTGGGGAAATTATAGAGCTCCAGAGGAGTCAACCAAAGCTTGCAAGAAAGCATCTAAAGATATAAGACAAAACAAGAGAAGGCTCTTCATGACCATGAATTAATACAGATTTCTAAATTTTCTTAAAATGAATAAAACTAGTAGCTGAGTTGCTCCTAGAAGAATATTCTCACATTAGAATAAGCCTTAAGGTAGTTGTGAGTCAATTCTGAAATGGACAGATAGTTTGAAGATTCAATTTGGAGTACTAAATTCCAATCACAAACCACTTGGCTACCTTAGCAATGCTTGGGCTTGGCTAGAAGGCAGTCATGATGTCTTGTGCTGTAAGCTGCTGTCTAGACAAAGATCCTGGTCCACAAACTGCTTCCTGCTTTTTTAAGCTTTCACTTTGTGCTTACTGCTTTACAGAGCAGAAATAAGTGATCTCTGAATTCTCTAAGGTATAACTGGTACTGCAATCTACACACCAACTGAAAAAATGAAACCTTCCAGTTCAAAGTGTATAAGGCGGTACACTTCTGCAGAAGGATCTCAGCATGCCAAAACCTTGCACTGTCAAATGCAGTCTTAGCATAGTGAGGTCACTAAAAACCATAGTCCGTTAGCTATAACTAGACAAGAAATGCCTAATAAAGACATCTGAAGCCTTTGCAGTGCAAGAACTGGGCTGTCCCATAGCCCTTTGGCCTATTTGTGAGTGAAATTGCAGCTTTGCCTTGTTATCATAATAAGCTGCCCTGATAGCTGAATTCCCTACTGTAAAAGAATGCCTTTGAGCTCAAGGATTTGTTCCTCTCAGCCTGTATATGTACTGTAGTTTATGCTGCTAATTAAACTTTTTGGTCTAACTGGAAACAGGATTTGAGGATAAATTTCCACAATTTACAAAGGATGTCTGAAACAACTAGCAAAAAATCCTTCTAACTCCACATTGCATAAGCAACAGAACAGGATTTAGGCAAGGAAGACAGACCTGGGAAGAGTTAAGTCTAAAAGAAGTCTGTGAGGAGATGAAATAGAAATGTATTCCTACAAGTCTGAGGCAAAATGCATTAAGCTTAAATACACTAAGTAATTATTCAAGAAACATTAAATGCAGCTGAAAACCCACCCTGACCTGTGAAGAACAAGGGCCTGGTAGGTAAGTATTGGAAGCCCAAGGGAGAAGCCTTGTCCCACCTTAGTTAGAGAATGAAATGAAGGAGTTCACACCAAGGCATGCATTCTTCCCCCATCATCAGGACTTGCCAAAAAAATCCCACTTGATGTAGCAGCTGCACAGTCTGAGAACCGTGATCTTTCAAAGCAAAGTGTGGTTTATGTTGGCACATCTGAGCCTCCAGCAAGGGGTATTTATCTCATCCATCAGCACTTCCACTGGTTAGAAGGCTGCAGACACACTCCAGGGTGCTTTCAGAGATAAGTAGACCTCACTTACTCCTATTTTACTGTCTCGGCCTTTCAGGTAGGGATTCAGAGGCTAATTTAACTTGCTGTGTTGCTTTGAGTTGCCTAAAACCTGGTTAACACAATCCAGGTTAGTGGTGTAGGCTTCTCCCTTTTAGAAAACATGGAGGGAATGAATCTTGATGCATTGTAAAGCTGAAAAGCATATAGGGATTTTACTGAATGCCTTTTTCTTGTTTCCCAATAGCTGATTGTTCTGCCCAAGGTGATCTAAGCGAGCACTTGATCACAGCTGCTTTGACTTCCTTCTTCCTGAATGCCTCTCAGAAGTAGTCTGTTGGTGTTACTGGGCTTCCAAGATCTGCAGCAGGGTGATTTCCAGTCTTATGGAGGTGAACCTTCCATTGTCTCTAGAAAAGGATGCACAAATAAATATGGAAACTTCATATTTGGGCACAAGGTTCTAGAGTTAGAGGCAGAGCCCCAAGGACTGACTAGTTGTAACCTCAAGAGCTGCGCTGGGAGATGAAATGCAGCCTCACCATGACATACTAATTTCTTACACCATATTTGAAGATGAAAATGTCTGAGATGTTGGTGAGTTTAGTACCTAACCCCTGAAATATGTATAGTTGTGTCAGTAGATGGCAGGAGTTCCAGTATAGGTTGGGGAGCGACCTGTTAGAGAGCAGTGTAGGGGAGAGGGACCTGGGGGTCCTAGTGGACGACAGGATGACCATGAGCCAACACTGTGCCCTTGTGGCCAAGAAGGCCAGTGGCATCCTGGGTTGTATTAGAAGGTGGGTGGTTAGTAGGTCGAGAGAGGTCCTCCTTCCCCTCTACTCTGCCCTGGTGAGACCTCATCTGGAATATTGTGTCCAGTTCTGGGCCCCTCAGTTTAAGAAGGACAGGGACCTGCTGGAGAGAGTCCAGCGCAGGGCAGCTAAGATGATTAAGGGAGTGGAGCATCTCCCTTGTGAGGAAAGACTGAGGGAGCTGGGTCTCTATAGTTTGGAGAAGAGGAGACTGAGGGGTGACCTTATTAGTGTATATAAATATATAAAGGGGGAGTGTCACAAGGATGGAGCCAGGCTCTTCTCAGTGGCAAACAATGATAGGACAAGGGGCAATGGGTACAAACTGGAACACAAGAGGTTCCACTTAAACTTGAGAAGAAACTTCTTCTCAGTGAGGGTGACAGAACACTGGAACAGGCTGCCCAGGGAGGTTGTGGAGTCTCCTTCTCTGGAGACATTCAAAACCCGCCTGGACACGTTCCTGTGTAACCTTATCTAGGTGTTCCTGCTCCGGCAGGGGGATTGGACTAGATGATCTTTTGAGGTCCCTTCCAATCTCTAACATACTGTGATACTGTGAGTCTCTTTGCAGGGAGGCCCCTTTGCATTTCTCTGAGTTGGCATCTTTTTGCCATCTTTCATTTTTGAGTGCATGGTCCATAACTCTGATGTAACAGAATGTAGTTAGGGTAATTTGTCTGTCCTCTTTGCTCTTTTCCTCTTCAAGACTGTTTTTCCTTTGAGAACAAGACACCTTGTATACAAATGACTAGCCCCTGACATACCTGTCTTGAAGGCACTTTTTGCAGTGGTGAGGTAGAATTCTGATCTGCACTTTGCAATATCAAGAGTGATTTAGGTGATCTGTGGATGTTCAAGCTCTGGTCCTGCACTGACTGACAGGGCCTTGAAGCAGTTCAGTCAGGTGGAACTGATCCTAAACTCATAAACCCATTCAGCCTGGATCTGTTATAGCTTCTGCAAGTACATCATGATATTTCTATCCCAGTATTTCAGAAGGCTTTGCCTGTAAGTGTAGGCAGTTATTTAGGGAGAACTTCTTCCTCACTGTGAAGGAGGAAAGAATACAATTATAGACTTGGCTTTTTCTGAGTTCTCATTGAACTGGAACATAACACACAGGCTGCTGCAGAAAATATTTTATTCAAAGTTTCACTAACAAAGCTACAATTAGGGGAGTAAGGTTTTTGCTGGTTTATTTCAATTATGTGTGAAGCCACAGACCAGCCTAAGGTGTAAAAATCAATTTCTGACAACAGTAAGAAACATACCAGCTGTCCCAAAGGTAATGCTGGACACCTTGGGCACTCATTCATGATGTCTCTGTGGGCAATAGAGAGTAAAACACATGTCAGATGCAATAAAGAATCGGCTCCTTGATTTGGGTGGGATTTTTTGTATGAAGAGCAAGTCTACTGATGTGAAAGAAGGAATAAATCCCTAGCTAAGGCACTGCTTGAGCAATTGAGTCACCTTCATGGAATTTCCTGAAGTTTTAAATGCAAAGTGAGGAACAAGAGGAGATATTTGAGCTACCTTGTGACTGAACTGGGA